ATGCTTTCTTGGTCTATTGATGCTAGTTTTTAAACCGACCATGATGATTTTAAGTCATAGTCCGAATTTGTTTTTCAATTAAATGGTGGAGTCATTAGCTGAAAGAGTTCTAATTAAGAAACAATGATCGTCTCAACAATCGAAGTCGAATATATTGCAACTGCGAAGTAGCTAAGGAAGCTATATGGATTCACAAATTTATGTCCGGACTACTAGTGGTTCCTAGCATTGTTGATCCAATAGTAGTATATACTATGATAACAATGGAGCTATAACACAAGCTAAGAAACCAATATCTCATTAGTAGTCCAAGCATGTATTGCGATGCTACCATCCGATTATAGAAATTATCGGTTGTGGTGACATAAGGATAGAAAAAGGTCCACACCGATGACATCATAGCTGATCCCTCGACTAACCCTTTGTCATAATTGAAACATGAAACCCTTACTCGATCGTAGAGATTAAGGGACATGACCGATTGGCTCTAGTGTAAGTGAAAGATTGTTAGTGTAGGTGCCCAATATCCAACCATGTTTGGATAGGTTTGAGTTATTATATTATTGCATTATTTTTTTAATAATAAAGAAGTCTTTATATTAATTCTTATGTTTTATGTTCATTAATTCGGTAGAATTAGATAGAAGTCTAATAAGGACTAGTAACCAAGACTAATAATCAAGTTTGAGATTACAATATGATATGTTAACATGAAGATTGAATTGTATGGTAATCATACTCGTGAAAGGTAATTGTGGATTTATTAATCCTTTTAGAGAATTGAGTAGTCATGATGCTTTGCTAAAGGTCAATCTTGACTTATGTATCAAGAGATAAAAGAGGTATCTTTTATTCTTAATACATTGTCAATATATCTAAGAGTCTATTGAGTCACATGCATAAGTTTAAGCATTCACACAATTAAAGAGAAGCAAAGATGTTGAAAAAGTTTCTAATTATGAAAGTTTTCTATTTTGAAAAAGGTTTCGAAAATTGAAAGTTTCCTAAAATGATTTCTTTCCTAATTTGAAAGTTAGTTTCAAATTTTGAAGCAAATAACTTAAAATAAAAATGAGTTTCCTAATTTAGGTTTAAAGATATTTTGAAAAATTGTTTTCAAATATAAACCACCTAAAATTATCTAACTTAATTTATTTGGATAAACCAAATTGATTAATTAAATCAAAATAATCTTAGGCCAATATATTTAATTAAAAGCCCGAAAGATATTTTGGTAGAAGGATAAACATGAACTTTATTGGATAGGAATGAATTTTTTATACATAAAGATCAAAAGCTCATATTTTAAATAATTCTTAATCCTTGAAGGATTAGAAAAGCAAGAACTAAGAGTCTAATAAAGACTAGTTGTCTGCCCCATTCTCTTTATCCTTGTAGGGTAAGGAAACTCTCTCCCTATAAAAAGGAGAAGAGGTGTGACAATAATTATACGAGAGAAAAGTGAGAGAAAACTCGACACACATAAAATAAAAGGGACACACGATATAAAATAAAAGCTAGGAGAAAATTATTTTCTCTTTAACCTTAGTATGTCACTTTTCTTCTCTCTTTGGGTTGTCGGAAAATTACCCTATTTAGATTTTTATAGGAAACACTAAATAAGTCAAAAAAGATGGGGCTAGCACTTTACCAATTTTGAGTGCTTAGATTGCGTGAATTATCGATAGAAATCGGACATTTGGACAACTATTTTTTGTAGAGGTTTATATCCGCGCTACAAGAGGAAAATTCTCTATTCTTCACTTTAATTCTTAAATATATGATTAGTTGATTCAATGGCATGATCTTGGACATTTTAGATGGATAAAATTTTTTATTTAATTTCGCACCTCTATAAGATGCATGATCTTTCACCTTTAAAGTTGCCACTATCCAACCATTGAAAATCCCCTCCAAACAACCCCCGAATCGACAACGGTAACCCTATTTTCTCGACTAAAAAATCGCGAGCAACTCCACCATCTAGCTCCTTCAAACCCGCCACCCAAGTCGTTCAAAATAACTCCCTTGTCGCCAACATTTTCCAACCTCCAAAACCACCTTAACGAGTCATAAAACAGCCATAAAAATACCCCTAAGCTCGCTAACAAAACAACCCAAAATATCCCAAACAAAACCCCCAAATTATCTTTGAAATCCTAAGCCCACATTTCAACTAGAAGAGGATGATAATGATTTTGAATAAGGGTTAATGTGTTTGGATCCAAAAACTCTTCAAATCTCAATTAAGAGTAAGCAAAGAAAAGGGAGGAGACTTAATTTATTGGCACCAACCTTTCCTCTTCGGTTAACAATATTGATTGTCTTCATTGGAGGGCAAAAAAGGTCTTCCAAACATGCAAAAGAGAAAGAAAGAAGAGATCTTTCGTTCGTGGGTGTTAACCTTCCTTCTTCGGTTGTCATCTCTTTGTCTTCTCTTTATCTTCATTAGAGGGTTAAAGAAAGTAACACCACTTCTTCCCTACTTATTAGAGTTTTTTAGCGATCGAGAGATGATTATTACGACTTTTAAAATCAATTTCTACATAAGGGTAGATTTATCATTTAGCCTAAAAACGCACTTTCAACACTTTTAGGGAAGTACCTCAACCATTTTGATCGATCAAGTAAATTCCCAACCCATTCACATTGTTTTCATATATTTATTAGTTTCAAATGTGCATGAATAGATATTGTAAATAGATATGATGTTTATCATCTAAATGTGATATTTAAAGTGTGATTAAGATACACTCGTTGTACATCAAAATCTAAAAAATTCAAGAGACCTTAGTTTCTTTTGAGAAAAATAAGGTCGATATTCAATACTCTACAATGAAGCTAAGAGGACTAGTATGGTTTTAATTTCAATGATTTATCTAGAGTGATTGTCGATCTCGCTATGAGCAATTAAGCATATTGTTTTTTTTTATGAAGATATAATGAATTAAATATGATGTATGCATTGCTTTGTTTATGTGGTGCTATCTATTAAATAGGATGTGCATAAATAATGAATTATTCAATGTCAACTTGGAAGGTTGACACTATTATTTTGCATAAATAAATATAATGTGTAAATATGATGAATGTATACATATGATGAATCATTCGATGTCAACCTCAAAGGTTGACATTATATTTTGCATGAATGAATGCGATATGTAAATAAAATGAGTGTGTATATATGATGAATTATTCGATGTCAACCTCAAGGGTTGACGTTATATATTGTATGAATGAATGTGACATGTGAATATGATATACGTATGCGATGAAATACTCAAGATCATCCTCGAAAGTTGATGTCGTGTTTCTTATGCTCAAATTTGATATGTATTTAGGTGATAAGTTTCATATTTATGAAGAAAGTAAGGATTTTCGGTGTACAAAATATTGAATTTTTTTTTCTAACATCGATTTTTGGGTACTACAAGCTTTGTAGAAACACAAATTTTACAAATTTCATATTTTCATGGTGAGATGGATTTAATTATAGAGGGAATTTATATTACTATGAATATTTTTGTTTCTTAAATTCACGTAAAAATTTAAGTGATTGTATTATTTTTTTTTATTATAGTAGATTATTTCAAAAGTGATCCGTGATTTTTTCCGCTATGATATAAATGATTTTTCACATAAATTTAATGCTATTGTGGCTCCATTTTTGTGATTAATTTATTTTATATGTTTAATTATGTGTGTATTTGATTTTTTTTTTGTTTTTTTTTTTAATCTAATTATACGGAATGAAATTAAATTTCCAACAACACTATATGCATATCCTGATTCTTCTGTCGGACTATCCTCAATCTACTAAATGCTAGCGCTCAGTAGAAGTGAAAAGATTTTAATGGAGATATTTCGAGTAATGGCATTGAATACATTTGCAGATAGATTTTTAGCGACAGCTTTCAATAAATTTGTAATTTGCACCTACTTCTTAAAACATTTCCCCTAGAAGAAGGGAATGTATCCAAGTATGTGCCTCGAACAAAATTTAATGACAAGAGTTCATAATTGTCAAGAGAAAGCATCCTTTCCGAACCCAATTTTCAAATTTTCACCCTTTTCACACCTTGGGTTCGAGGACTGCTTCTCAATTCTCATACTATGGGATTAGAATATACTATATGCATATCCTAGTACTATGGTTTGCAGAAATAACAATATATAGTTATTGGCGCCCTTTTTTTTTCCTACTATATACTACGAATATATTAGTGGTGATTTACAATTCTTCATAAGATTTTTCTTTAAAATATATATATAAATAAAGAAATTGCTGAACCTCCGGAGGAAAAGGGGTCCAATGGGAAACAGTCGTCAAAGATTTTATTATTATTATTATTTTTACTTTTCTAATAAATAAAGTCACGAGGCATTATATACCGTCGAAGTACCGTCATACGGCGGACCACGATTCTCAAAACACGGAAATTAACTTAAAATAACTTAGTGTGATGTTGTTGAATATATAAAAATTACTAATTTAATTTTTTTTTTTAACTTATGTTAACTTAATTACACTAAAATATGGAGTAATTAAATTAGTTTTTTTATCACGAGGTTAAAATTTTATTTAATTGTACAAAAAAAAAACTTTTTTTTTACCGAATCCTAAACATCAGTTTTTCAATTTAAACTTGAGATCTTCTAGTGCTTTACATACAGCTATGTCATTGGACACATGTTTTTTTCTTACTTTATTCTTAAAGTATGAAAGGCAATTAAAGAACCTCTTTTTGTCAAATAAGCGTTTATCGAGCTAAGCAAATCATCACTACTATTTACCCAAAAAAAGAAAAGGTAACAGCAACTCGAATAGAAAAGAGCGGAAGGAGTACAGAAGATAAAGCTGGAATCTTGCGTGCTATAAAGACACCACTCTGCCTCTGTACTTCTGCAAAACACAGCAAACGCGCAAACACACAGTCACACACACACAGCAAGTGGAGAGAGGGGAAGAGAATATCTCTATATACTAAGCCAAGAAGATGATTCAAAGCTCAACCAGAAGCAAATGGTTCACTTTGTTTATGCTTTTGTTTGCTCTTTTTGCTTCTGCAATACTTGGAGAAGATGGTAAGTGTTCTCTTTCTTATTTCCCTTCCATTTCTTACTTCTCATTTTCTCTCGCAAACTTAAATAACAAGCGCAGACCTTTCTTTCACTCCATTATATGTAGTTAGCTAGTAGATGTTTCTTTTTTGGTATATATGTATGTTTTTTTTGGGTCATTGCTGTTTTTGAGATCTGATATTCATGTACACCACTTACTACTACAGTTAGACTTGCCTTCTTACCTGTGATTCAATGTGCTTTTTGGGAAAAAAAAATCAAAGTAAGTCTTGATGAGTAAAACATAATTTCTAGCAGCGGGATACTTGGATTTTCTGTAATTATGTCATATGTTTGAAGGATTAGGAGTTTTCTTATTCGTGCTTTATAGCATTGCTATAAAATTAAGTTATTTCTAGCACTTACCTTGTTCCTTACATGGCTTTGTTACGCTTTTTTTTTTTATGGACATTCGACTTTGTTAAAGCCATCTTTTATGCAAGACAATGGTGTAAACAAGTAGGCACAATTTCTAACACAAGTTATTTACAGAAAACAAAAAAAAGAAGGTTTATAAGGGTCCTATGAGATTTTATTTTTACAGAAAAAGAAACCAAAGAAACTTCTGACTTAATCCTCTTTTTAATGCTAATTAATACGACTGTTTACTATAATCTTAACTAATTTGATGATGATGGTCTTCAAAGTTGAAGCTCACACAGCCTCATAGGATAGTCGGCTCCCATCCATGCCCCACTTTCTGTTCTCTCTTCCGTGCTTTTGAAGAATGTTTGTGTTTTTATTTACCGTTTCTTCTCTTTTAGGCTAGTTTTGCTATTGGTAGTATCCGAAGACGGCAAAATTGAAATTGCAACCCCACAAATCACAATCATGCGTAGCATTAGTGAATCGAGATGAGTCTCCATAATTTGAGATTTCAAGCTATTTTTGGTGTTATAAGGTGGACGACGAGTCATTTTTATGAGGCACTAGGAAGTTTATGGAGCCAAATATACAAACATAAATGGAATAGAGATCATTGAAAATTGACCAATAAACTGATAGATCATTTCTTGCAGAGTAAAAGAATATCCAAGGAAATGAGTTGTTAATTGAAAAAAAAGAAATTAATAGACGATTGAATAGTGTTAGATTTTGAAGTCTTGATTTTTTATTTTTTTTTAGGGAAATTAAATTCTTGATTTTGATTGGTCACTGGACATTTGTCCCCCTATCGTATCTCAATGTGCCACCAACTCCTTTTCTTCTTCTTTTTTTCCTTTTATCCCCAACCACTCTTGCAGTTAACTTGTGAGCTGATCATTATCCCAAATACGCATCTTGATTGGCCAAATCTCTCAGCCAAATATCTATATCAATATGGTGATTGTTATTTCCTCAATATTTAGACATAGAAAAGTTTAGGTTGAGTGAAATGTGGGTAAAATTATCCAATTTTCAGACACGGAAAACTTCAAATTATTATCATTATGATTGTGTTGTCTGTTTTCCTCATCATATCATAAGTTGGGTAAAATTACCAAAGTGGAACATTCTGACACCGAAAATTAGGTCATGTTGGCATAAGTTAGCAAAGCGACGAGGGCGCTTTCCGTAAAGCACGTTGGGGCTAACTATTTTATAACCATCCTTTTGGTAATCCAGCTGGAAGTTGCCAGTAAAAGTGAGAGTAAATTCGGGGACCTTTTTCTTTTTCGTTTTGGTAGTCAAAGTAGGGAAGACTAGGGAGGGCGGGGAGGAAAAAAAAAAAAAAACTTAAGATGGGCCGAAACGGTGCAGTAGGGTCCACGTGCTTAACGCGGCATCTGCTTCCATTGGATGTTATGAGCGTTCGCATCCCATCATTACTTTGTCGTCTTGAGATTCCAAAAAAACGAAATTGCTTGTTCTTTTTTGTTGGCCTGAGTTTTCATTTCCTTTCTGAGGGTCATGAACAGATAAGATTATCTATGATTCAGTTTGCTTTATCTTTTTTTTTTTTCTCCACTCAATTTCTATTAAGAATAATAGCTTGCTTGCGTGCTTATTGTGCAACTGGATAACTACACAATTTATTTGAGCTATATAATGGAATATCTGATAAAATAATTAAGTTTACAGGTACATATTGAAGAGCGGGAGGTATAGCTTGGGCTGTAATGACATCCCCAAGCTTCAACTAATTTTTCATTTTAGTCATAAAAGTATTGAGACCTCTTAAATCTACGCTTAAGTTTAAAGCCTATTTCATAGAAAATATACATTTTGTACCCCTCACAATGATTACCTAATATTCTATAACTATCATTAGTAAAAAAAAATGTAAAAAAATGTATTCTAATACTGTCTTGTGTTGCCCTTGTTCCTAAAATTATAGTCTCCTCACTGGGGAGAGTAGTTATAAATTTAGACCCATGCTTGCATTACATACATGATATCTTATGGTCTAATTGCTTCAATTCCTAGCACCATTCCTACTTTGACATCAGTTCAATATATATATATATATATATATATATATAAGGCAGAGACTAGGGCAACATGTTCCTTGTTGCTAAAATAAAAAATTTCCCATCTTATGTAATACTGTGTATTCGAGTCGGTGCGGTACCTTCAGCGGGGACAGTGGACGCTGTGATTTGTCTTGTCCTTTCGGAGCGTGGTCCAAGAGAGGACTGTATCTTGAGTCTTGACCCTAGAAAAGAGGTTAACTAGGCATTGAAAATACATCTGCACTTTCTCCTAACATTTTATGACCTGTGAATATTCGTCCGTAGACAAATAATTTCATGTACTGCATACACCTCATGCTTGGTGGCCATCGCCGCTTGCTCAATTATTCATACCTTGTAAAAGTGGGAAAATATATATATATATATATATATATATATATATATATATATATATATATATATATATAAGCGGTAGCTTAATTTATTTCGCAGAAAAATAAAATAGAAATTAATTAGAAAGTATTTCGATTTTGAAATACGTTGTTATTATTGCAGGGTTAGTGAGTAACGGTGATTTTGAAACCCCACCAACAAATGGCTTCCCTAAAGATGAGGCCATAGTAGATGGGCCCAGTGAAATTCCAGGGTGGAAAACAAGCGGCACCGTAGAGCTGGTATCCTCTGGGCAAAAGCAGGGTGCGATGATCCTCATTGTACCACGAGGTAGACACGCAGTAAGATTGGGGAATGACGCAGAGATCAGCCAAGAATTGACGGTGGAGAAGGGATCTGTTTACTCGGTCACGTTCAGCGCGGCTCGCACGTGCGCACAACTGGAATCACTGAACGTGTCAGTGCCGCCTGCATCACAGACCATAGACCTGCAGACATTGTATAATGTGCAAGGGTGGGATCCATACGCGTTGGCTTTTGAGGCAGAAGAGGATAAAGTGAGTTTGGTTTTTACGAATCCCGGCATGGAGGAGGACCCCACTTGTGGGCCCATCATTGATGATATTGCGATAAAAAAGCTGTTCACTCCTGAGAGGCCCAAAGGTACCAACTCACTTTTTGCGTTTTTTCTTTTGAATTTGTATGCACACCTCTTATATAATAGCTATATAATATACCTATACAGTAAGTGGGGCAGTCAGTATTAGCTGAAGCTTTTTGACCATTGGATTTAGATCATGAGCATCCAATGTGTGGGCCTTGCTACAGGGGACAATTTTCCTCTTTGAGTTTCCTTTTGTCAAAAGTGACTTGAGTAATTAACTTGCGAATCCTACTAGAATTCAAGGCACGTCAACCTAGGCAATTATTATGTTATATTACTGGAAATCATAAACCTGCCATCTAAGAAATGCTTGTGTTTTTAGTCAAAGAATCAAAACACACAAGTGAAATCAATATTCAAAACTCCAAAAAAGTATTTGGTTAAAACAGCTGCCCCCATAAAAGTTATAATAATTTGAGGTCTGTATTACCCATTCATGTAATAATAATAATAATAATAATTGGATAATTAATTACCACATTGGTATTTTATGATTGTTAAAAGTGTTCCTTAGCTCTGCTAATTTATTTATTAACTTCCTACTCACTCGTTCCTTTCTGCTGCATTTGTTTTTCTCCTCAGAAAATGCAGTAATTAATGGTGATTACGAGGAAGGCCCATGGATGTTTCCGAACGTTTCACTTGGGGTCTTGCTCCCCACCAAACTAGACGAAGAAACATCATCAATTCCCGGTTGGATTATTGAATCAAACAGGGCTGTCCGTTACATAGACTCTTACCATTACTCAGTTCCACAAGGCAAACGTGCCATTGAATTGCTTTCAGGCAAGGAAGGCATAATTTCACAAATGGTTGAAACGACACCCAACAAGCCATACACGATGTCGTTTGCCTTGGGCCATGCTAGGGACAAATGCAAGCAGCCACTAGCAGTTATGGCCTTTGCCGGTGATCAGGCCCAAAACATCCATTACACGCCCGACTCTAACTCCACCTTTCAGATTGCTAATCTTAACTTCACAGCCAAGGCTGAAAGGACTCGCGTTGCATTTTACAGTGTGTATTACAATACCAGGACTGATGATATGAGCTCCTTGTGTGGGCCAGTGGTGGATGATGTTAGGGTATGGTTTTCAGAGGCTAGGAGGAATGGATTTGGAGGGCTTGGGCTATGGGTGTTTGTTTTGGTTTTGGTTTTGGTTTTGGGTTAAGCTGGAGCTTTGATTAGGGAAAGAGCAACGGTTACATGCTTATGACTTTATGTAAGTTGTATAATTATAGCGGGTCTGGCATGGGAGTTTTGGTAAACGAAAATTCCTAGTGTCGACGGGGCTGTTTTATATTACTGTGCTGTACCGTGGTTATTGAATTGCGCTGTTCTGTTCGGTGATGTGGTATGAAATTAAAGTAGTGTTTATTAAGCTCATTTAGTTAAATGATTTATGGCTTTTTAAATTTCCATAACTTGTGAACATATTTTTTTTAAATAATTTTTAAGTTAAAAAAAAAGTTAAATAGAATGATAATATATATAGACACATAAAACCAATTATATATATATATAGTTTCAAAATACAATCAATTAAAATAGAGATCTTCATTCTTTCAAGTCATGAAATTTGTCATGTTTTTTTTTCTTTTGGTCTACAATTACAAGCACAACAATGACACAAAATTTCAAGATCGATAGTACAATTTTAATTTAAGTCAATAGATTATCAAAATTTTACTAAGTCATTGATCTAATATTTCAATAGATACCTTAATCACATAAAATAAAATTAAGAAGACAATTGATCTAATATTTAATTATAAAGTATTATTTAAAAAAATTGAGAGTTGCAAGATTCAATCAATATATAAGATGAGAAACATGATAAATTAATAATGTAAACAATATAATAAGGGTTAATAAATTATTGATTTTTTTTTAAAAATACCTATTGTGTTGTCGAATAAGAAAAATCCAAATTAGAGAAAAAATTTGCTTTTTGATGTTTTGAATAGAGTAAGAGTTAAGGAAAAAGGAAGAATGAACGAATTTAGTAGTGGTGAGAGACAACTAGGATCAAATTGAATAACTATTAAAGGTTTAGTTGTGCCTCGTGGGAAAATCAAGGGCAAAGGTTAAAAAACATTAAAGAGGGTTGGGTTTGTCTTACTCTAGTATAGGAAAAAAAAAAAACTATAGCCATGCCTGTTTTGTCTCAAGTGGCAGCACAAATGTTGTTTTTGGTGTCCTTTTCTTTTGAAGTGTAATGTATAATATTATTGTGTTAATATAGGATAAGGTAGGGATATGGACTGTGCATTAAAAAAAAGTTTGAGGGCTGGGTTTGTTGCTCTGTTACTCTAGTGTAGGAAAAAAATAAAAAAGTTAAGGGGGCCTCATAACTTACTCAGTATAGGAAAATAAAAAAGTTGGAGGGTGGCCCAGGCCTCTATAGAAGTACATGTGCGTCACCCCTGTATATAAGATTTCGAAAAGGTTGGGGTGGGAGGGTGTTGGGGGGTAAGGCTCAATTAAAACCAGTGGTATTTTTTTTTTACCAAAAAACAGCGAGGTATCTTTCTTGGTTTCAAAATCAAAACACAGTTTCATTATAAGTTGTGTTTGTTTTGAAAAAAATAAGTTTCAAGGATTTATTTTCTTCGTTTTTCGATATTTGATTTGCAATAAGCAAAAAAGTCGGATGGAATTTAATTTCGAGTCAACGAAAATTAATAGAATGTTTTTGAAAAAATAACTTCCTAACTAAAAAAAAAAAAAATTTTCTCTCTCTCACAAACTTGTCTCGCTCTTGCATTACTCACCACTCTCTTTATATACTTTAACAATTTTTTCTCTCGTCTCGTTTTTTGTTTAAAATATATCAAATTAATTTAAAATTATTTCCTATCAATTATTTAATTATTTTTTCTTTGTTTCTACTAGGATTTGATTTTTCTATTTATAAATACATTAAATATTATGAAAAACCATTTTTACACCTTAAAATTATTTTTAAAATAAATATTTCAATAATTTATTTTTATTTTTTTACCATTATCCCAAATACCACCTAAGCTATACTTGAAATAATTGAAAATGATTATTACAAAACCGCAACATTTGTGAAAATTTTAAAACTAATTAATTAATTAATTAATATATTATTTTTTCAACGCTATTCATTTGCAACTAAATCAATAATTTGAGACTAATTTTAATCGGTTATAAAATTTTGTTGGTAGTTATAGTCAATAATTAGTTATAAGTTATTCCAACGTTAATCTTTTAAAATCAAATGATAATTATCTATAAATGATAACTAATAATTTGTATTACTATTTTTTAGACTAAATTATCATTTTAATTTTCCAAAAAAAAAAAAAAAAGAATTGTCAATCGAGTTACCAAAATAACAATGCTATGATTATTTAGAAATTTTTTTTATTAAACGTGAATATTGACTTAATTTTGTCCCAAGTAGTTTTAATGAATTGGTTTGATGGTTAAAAATATACATATTTATTTTTTGAATTTAAATCTTAAAATTAGTATTTGTAAAAATTTATTAAATTTTTCCGAATACATCTTATTGATTTAAAAAATATAGTTTTAAAATCTTTTGAGAAAAGATTTAGTTTCAATTGTAAATTGATTTTAAAATATTTAATACATTTGAATGAAAACAATTATGGTCCAAATGATATTTCAACACCATGGTTCTTTGTCTTTATATTTTCTTGATTATAACCGATACTTTTTGTTTTGACACAATAACATATCGATAACTCATATGCTCTATTTTGATAGTTTTTGTTATATAGATTACTATGGTCGTGAGAACTTTTACCAATTTTTATATTATGAGATTATGAATATGGCTTGTTGAAGTTTACTCAAAACTCATTGATGTATAAATCACGAGTCTCTTTTTATATTTCGGTTTTCCGTATCAAACAAACGTTGAAATATATTTTCTAATAATTTTTTTATGTAATTTTCAAACGTAAGAAAATATTTTTCTAGAAAACAATGTTTTGAAAAATAATTTTCCAAAATTACTTTTCTTATTAAAAGTTATTTTTCGTCAAGCAAACGGAGCCTTAAAGCAACATCTATTTTGATTTCAAAGCAAAATAAACAAATATAAAATGAATATGCTTCGTTAAACCAAAAGCAACTTGTGTTTTAAAAGTATAATAATATCAAACATATTGGCAATTGAGAAATCAATTCATCCAATAACGTTTTTCAAATGATTTTCAAACTAAAACAAATAAAGACCATTTAACCTATCAACCAATTTGATTGACACTCTTTATTTTGTTCATCTAATTTTAATACTTAAGATACAAATTGTTTCTATTAAAATTTAAGACCTTCTAATAGGTTCCACTAGCGATGAGATAGCCACCGAATTAAAGGTTTAATCATCATTGGTTTATTTATATCAATCTTAAATCTAATCATAATTGGATTCTAGTTTTTTAAGATTTGAAATTTTCAAATCGAAAAACTAAAAGTCAAAATTTTGAGTTTGATTTGAATTGAAAATTGGTTTTTTGATATTAAAATGTTTGTTTGCATAGTTGAAAAGATTATTTTCGGTGTTTTTTTTTCTTTTTTGTATTGTTATGTTGTATTGTACACTATGGCTACTATGTTGTGTTGTGCTATTTGGTCAAACTAGTATTTGGTGGTCGGTTATTTTTATGTTTATAAATATTTAAAATAGTTAAATGGTATTTGGTTAAATTCTTTTATTATGCTTTTAAGACATAAAATATCCAATAGCAATAACAAAAGAAACTAAAACAAGTGATGGTTTTCCTATTTGAATATTATTCACATATACCAACTTGTATTGTGGACTCAAATTATTGCTTCCTTTTTTGCCTTTCAGTCATTTGATTTTCATTTTTTCGTTAGTGGCCATTGGATTTCTTTTATAAGATAGAGATCGTGTATTCTTTTCAATTAATCGATGCTTGCCATATGTTCATTCTTATCATTAGAAATTTATACGGTCCCCAAACTTAAAACCACTCTTCTTTTATCGTCGCTACAACTAGTCTCGAAACTCAACTACGACTGAAACTCTTACACGAGTCCCAAAGCTTCAACTGTCCTAAATCTCCATCACCAGCAGCTAGCCTTCCACCACCTCCTATTTCTCCCTTAAGGTTATAATAGTGTGGTTGGCTTTGGTTTATCAATGATAGACTTACCATGCTTAATTGCAATACTCGAAATGAAATCATTAGTGACTTGCCATTTGTTTGATGAAACCATTTATCGGTGATAGACTTACCGTGCCTAATTGTAATGCTGAAATGAAGCCGTTGGTGACTTGCCATTTGTTTGATGAAACCATCGATAGTTTCAAAATAATTTTACCTTTTTCTTATTTATCAAAACAAAGTTGTCGATGACTTTTCACTTATATGATGATGTCATTAATGACTCTCGAACCCATCTTATTTGTTTTTTATTTTCTCAAAATGAAGTCATTGGTAGTTTCCACTCATATGAAGAAGCTATTAGTGGTTTCGAGATTATTTAATTCAATTTTACGCTTTTCTAAAATGAAGCCATCGAGGGCTTTTCACTTATATGATGAAGTCATTGGTGGCTTTTATACTAGTTATTAGATACTTGCTCGAGCAAAAATGAAGTTACCAATAACTTTCTACTTATGTGATGAAGTTATTAGTAGCTTCCCAAATTCGTGACTCGAAGTCGACGGTGACTTCCTACTTGTACGAGTTAAATCATCGATGACTCGTTGTTCATGTCAATAAAAGACTATGTATCTTTAGAAACTCACCTAATTGTCAATAATAGGTTGTATTTACTAAAAACTAGTCAAAATTCTAACTTCTCCTACCTTTCTTCTTTGAGTATGGGGTGTTGGCCTTAGATCGGCTTGAACTCCCAAACTACTCGTTTTATGTTCGAACACCCGAACTTCTCTATTTTTGATATTTTTACAAAATAAACTTATTTAAATAAGTAGAGAAGTATAACATAATAAAAAATCAAATTTTTATCTTCACATACAAATAATACGACCTATCTTAGGTAGGACGGGATGACGGTGATGTTATATCTTTCCTATACCTAGTCGATCTCTTACCCAAATATCTATGCGTGACTAGTACATTTAGGGTTTTCTAGTTTTTTCTAATTAGATAGATGACGACTCTTTGTCTGTCCCTTCCA